AAAACGTATTAAAATTAAGGGTACATGAATGTAATTTTATTTACCAAATACGTTTATTTGACCGGTCACAACTTACGTGTACACAAGGAGAAAATCAGAACATAATGCCGGGCGATGTAAAGATTGCCATGCTAAATAATGGACATTTTCATACTCTTGTACGGATACTGTTAATTATGTTTAAATATTGGTTGTTACTCATAAATACATAATACGTTAAGGAATTATTTAGGCTGTTTTGATGTACAAAAGTTTTAATCTTTTATCCAATAATATTATCAGCTGGATATATCGAGACCTGTTTTTTACCATCCGATGGTACCTATTGTTGAGCTAGTCAAATCCGCGATAGTAAAAAGGTTCTCTTAGTGCCCAAGGGGCGAAAAGAGTTAAAAATGGGAAAACCGGAACACTTATAACCGAGATTAATCGTCTTTAGAATGCTTGTTAAATCCATTTATCAAGAAAAGTAAACAAACTCGGTAAAATAATGCGAAAGGAACAAGTTGGGCAAAAGCACGCAAGTAGATTGAGTCGAGAGAAAGAGATGCGTTGTGCGTTTTTGTATATTACTCAGCAGTCTTTACATTCAACGTGGCATTTCTCACGTTTATGTTACTCAAATATATGGTCATCCGGTAAAAAAATCATATATTATAAATGGATTTAACTTTAGAACAAGTCAAATATCCGCTGCGGTTAAAGTGTATCGTTCTGAGAGATCCGGGATCAAATATGGACGAGCATTTACCTAAAAATTTTTTGTGGGCCAGATTTATAGGGCCCGTCCCTTATCATTTGGCCTCCCCATTGGGGCCTGGCCGAATTCGGATAAATAGAGGACAAATGGCCCTCTTTGTGCCCACAGGACGAAAAGAGCCAAAAATAAAAAGTTGAATGTTGAATAGAAATTAATTAATTCTTTCCGCCCTGTGGGAACTGACGATGATTTTTTCAAGCCCATTATGGATTCGGTCAGGCCCAAAATGTGGCGATCGGGTGATGACAATATTCGGACGGACTATCTTTGAAAAATTCTGAGTTTTGACCCATGTTAATTTAATCCCGGTCCCCCAGGTGGTAAGCTACTACCTTAATTGCTCGGCCATTATACCGTTAATTCGAAAATTAAAAAAAATTAAAGGAGTAATCCATAACTGTGATAACTGTCTTTGTGCTGCATTCAGCACATTGCTGGCAATTTCTATCCATTTCGAATAGGCCATGGGATCGATCAACAAGGATGAAGGATAAAAGAGATTCCTTGTGTCGAACTAACGATGGAAAATTATTAGAATTCAAATGGAAGTTACATTCAGTTTTTCCAAGTTGAATTCTTTTTGAGTGGTAGTCCGGCCTAAGAACAGAATATGAGTGAAGAGTTTGGTTTATTTGAATTACGGCAACGCAGATGCGCTCTTCTGAGAGGGATACCTCCTAAAGATCTTTTATGGGTAATTGGCCGCTATTTAGTTGTCACTAACGTGAAGAAAACCCGGAAAACTTCACGAAAACGCTGCATCCGACTGATGATTATTCCTAAAATACATGATATTCACATCCATCCAGAAGTAGAATCAAATTTAATATCCATTATTTGGTAGTATGAATCCATCATTCCTCATCCGTCATAGATGCTAGCTAACCCCATTGCGGGTCAGCCCTTAATGGAGTATTCCTGCATTACCAGCATTACCTGCAACCAATTAACTAGCAGTGTTCATTGTTTTTATCAAGTAAGATTTGCAAATTTCTTTAGAATGTATCATGTAATTACACCTTATTTTTCATTTAAATCTACCCTATTTATATTCTGAATATGAGCAAATGCAGTCCACTTATTAATCATTCTATTTATCAATTATTTCCGTTCTTTCTCGTTGAGATCAGATCTCTTTTGTTTTCTTGTCCTCTTATCTGTATTGTTGAGCTGAAGTTTTGAAATTGCACAACAACAGATGTCCATTGTGTTTCTGTCCTTCCTGAATCTCGAGAACGGTGTTATATAGATGAAAACTGAGACCAGATATGGAAAGTTAAGGGCTGAAACCCCGATTAACTGTATAGGAATTCCGATCTGAACAGGAAATCATGAACAGGGCAGTTCGGAAAAAGGTGTTAGTTGGCATTGTGAGGCGTTCTTCCTAACTTATAATATTTTCCATCAAAGAGAACGTTTGCAAAGATAAATTTTTTATAAATTGATTTATTCGGTAGAGGGGTTTAAACCGAAAACATGTGAAGTGTTTTGAGGCATTCAGTTGTAACACCAATCTGTTTACATGTATTGAGTATTCTGTTGTAGCAAACACTTCAAACCCTTCTCAGTAGGGTTTGAAGTGTTTACATTTAATAGCGTGTACACGGGAATAAGGTCACGACTCATCGTAATAGGAGACAAAAGAATTTCGAGTGTATAGACTACTTATGTTTACACACTAAAATAATTTATGTAGAGTGATCAAACAAGGGCAAAGTTTTGCTTATGTAATACTTTAAAACACCCCATATCATTACACGATACCTATTTATGGATTTTATTATAATAATAATACATTAAAGATGACAGTTTTGGCAAGCTAACAGTTATATAATTTATGTATTTTGGAATAGTCAAAGGTCAATTATAAGTAATTTAATTGTCAAATACTACTATGAGAAATGATGTATGTGTCTGAGAAATTGCACTATTTATTTACATAATTATATATTAATGATTGTTTATGCAAATATATTTGCATAAATCACATTAATTCATAATTTATTAAAGATTCTGTTTAGTTTAATTTAAATAATGAGCCATTTTTAATTGCATTTTTATCCTGGACAATGCATCTTTCTATAGAATTAAAGCTGAATTTAGAAGTGCTGTGACTTTAAACCAAACAAAAATAACTTTGGCTTATGTAATTTCAGGATTTATTTCTACTAAGTGTGATAAAATCGTTTCAAGTGACTTATTTTTCAATGTTATTTCCAAAATTAGTAACTAGAAAACTACTTTTAAATATTATTTATCAATTTTTGAACTTTTAAGGCATAAATATATTGTTTAGAAGGAGTTTTTATCATAAATATATATATATATATTAATGTATTAAGTGCATACAGTAAAACCTGTACGGAAACCTGACAAAATATTCGGTGCGACTCCGGTTTACACAGGTTTTACTGTATTAAAATAATCTGGCAAATTGGCAAACCTCTTCAAAATAATAAATAATAAAAAAATATATTCTTAAATTGCTATTAAATTGCATATAAATTATATTCTAGTTTAATATATTAAATTAAAATTAAAATATTAAGTTACTGGCATTAAACTTGGGTCAATGTCAAGGTCTGGAGAATGGAATTATACAAAAGAAAAGAAAAAAAAAATTGCGACCTACATACATTTTTAATATAATTAAGCCAATAAATTTGGTTTTTTTTTAGTTGAAAAAAATAAATAATTTATTAAAAAATATATAAAACTTATCATTAGAATAATTATATCTACAATAACATAATGTACAGTAAAACCTGTCTTAAACGGAAATCTTACAAACGAGAGAAAAATACACATTCATTAACGTGCGATTCCGGTTCACACAGGTTTTACTGTATATTAATTAATTACAATTAAACAATTATCGATAAAATTTTATATTTCAACTCGTTAATTTTGAATGATTTTCCTTAAAATATTAACTTATTTATTAAATTAAAATTAAAATTCCAACAAATTTGTGGCACGTTATAGCTTCTTGGGACCCGAAAAAATTTGAATTAAGGGCCCTACGTACAGTATTAAATTCAGACAGGTAATTTTTGAGGGAAACATCCAGTTTCTTTATTGGTTTAACGCGATCTCTGGAGGGCCCCAAATTTATATTTCGATATTCTTACTACAGTAATGAGTTTATAAAAAATTGGTTTGGGGATCCAAGACAATTGCCCTTTTTGAACGTAGGGTAAAGCTCCAATGGAAATTTTCGATTAATTTAGGTTGTTTTTATCTCCTTCCCTGTAACGGAATTATTGACATCACGTAGATTTATTATGGAAAGGTTTGTATGTCAAGGAAAAAATATAAAGAACACGCCCTTAATCGAGAGTTGTTATCCGTGTCACTGTTCGTTTTACCCCCTTTTTTTCATTTATTATTCTGAATAACGTTTCCGTGGATTCGTGACTGTCTTTGTTTATCTTTATGCTATCGTTTTTCTTGCAGAATGCATGGGAGCTTATGCAGTTTCATTTCGTGTTCCTTTAAGGCCCTAGACGCAATTTTATTACAAGGGCCTTTGTAGAAACGCGTTTTTAAAATTAAAAAGATCATAAAATCTTTAAATAACAACTATTTTATTTACAATACATAACTTTTTAAACGTTTACTGAATTTTAGAAGCATATCATCTTTTCGTTGTGTAATTTTTGAGGCCCCCTGAGACGACGAGGCCCTAGTGGACCTACTGAGTAATCTGCCATCGAAGTAACAAGGATGAGAACAGTAACCCTCGCTTGTTTTCTTGTTAATGTAGAAAAGTAACGTTATATATATATTAGANGAAATTTTTGATCTGAAACTAATTTATAACCTGAAAAATTAATTTTTAGGTTATAAATAATAAAAGTTAATAAGGTTATAGAAAATAATTCTTCCAAACATTCACAAGACATTGTTCTCAATACTCAGAGGTCTCACAAATGAACGACACGACAGCACACACGTTAAGGTCGGCCTGCGCAGTCTGACACTGTGCAGGAAAATCAAATGGTTTTTCGAATCTACTCCGGTGGTCGGTACAGTTCGCCAAAACTGTTAAATTTTCCCCCCACACTATCAGGAATTACTCAAGGTCAGGCATGCACGGTTAATCCTCAAAGGATTTACTTAACGTGTATCGGCCCCTTAGCTAGACACAAATCTCACTATTGGTGGTTTATTTGGATATTCTTCCGTAAACTCGAGTGTAAGTTTAAAAGTTTCATCCTCAAAAGGGATATCATGAGACCCAAATATAACAGCATTCCATATCATAATATTATTATCTGTAGGAGCACCACTAACACCAGCAGGAGGATCTTCTTGCAATCTTTTAAAATCTCTCATTAATCTCCTTCTGGCTGGTGTGGACATATCAATGCAAAGTTCTTTTTAAAGGATCACAAAGAAAACAGGATCAACTAATTCCCTTTCTTAGCATAAGATGTTCTTCTCGAGAGAATTCTTTCTCTTCCAAACACCAAGTTGATTTCTACTTGTGACGTCTATCCGGGTTCTTCTATGCTGACGTCACGGAAATAATGTCATTAGGTGGCGCTTTGGGCGACTTGTTGATTTTCCTTGTCGTTTTTCTGTTGTTAAAATTTATTATTATTATTGTTATAATTTTTATTATTACAAATTATAAGTTATTTTAAATAATACGTATTAATATTAATTCGAAACGTTATTGTATGTTTATTATAAATTCCAATCTAGTGTGTTGTGATGGTCGATAATATTGCGTAATAATATTTTTTGTGGTTAGTTTTAATAAAATACTTTGATTAAATCGATTGTATTTAAAGAAATTGTCAAATTTCAGCATTTAAAAATATTATTCTTAATCTGAATAAATTTTACGTATACCGGTAACGTTATTTTATATCTTTCGATTACCATCCCATCTCCTATAACGCGACGGCCGGATGGCCGAGCGGTCAAGATGGCAGCCTACCTCTAATGGGGTACCCGGGTTCGAAACTGAACGGGTCGATAAATCTCCAGGAAATTTTCGGGGTGGTTCGCCCGGATATGTCGGGTCCCGTCCCTCAACACCCAGCCGTCCCATTGTGGGCCTAGCCGAACCCATAATATGCTTGTTAAATGAGGCCCTCTTAGTGTCCACAGGGCGGAAAGAGGGGACAAAATCTCCTGTAACTGGGGGCCCGACATATCCAAACGGACCACCCCTCGAAAACTTCCTGGGGATTATTCGACCCCGGCTCCCCCAGAGCAGTAGGCTGCCACCTTGACCGCTCTGCCATCCGGTCGTCATCCAAAATATTTGGACACATTTTTTTTTTAATTTTTAATAAGTCTTTCCGCGCTAAGAATGTGTCTATCATGATGCCAGGTCTATAAAGGTGTGTTGGGTAGTTTGGCTTGATGAGATACGGCAAAGCCCCAGGTGGACGATCTTCCAGGGAGATACGCCTCCCGAGATGTCTTTCTATCTGAAACCGGCTCTTATAGTGTTAGCCATGTGAATAGAACCCGCGTGGTCAGCCCGTTGGTGAGGCACGAACCAGTGTTCAGTGTTTCATTCACTCAGCCACTGAAGGGCGCAGTGTAAGGTGTAGAAGAAGAGCCCAATACCATCTGATCGAAACAACCATGATAATTTCTGAAGTTCTGATCTTTGCTCTAATCGGACATCTTAAAGCAGCAGGTTGACACTTTTATCATCTCAGAATCCTGCCATATATCAACTTGATTGTATTATAGACATATCTCTTATAACGAGGAGTATGTGTTCCTAATAAGTAACACATTATAAAAATTCGCGAAATAAAATAATCGTGCTTATGGAAAAAAACAGAGTTTTCATTATAGGAAAACACGTACATTAAACCGAATAAACTCAAATCAATGATGAAAAATGCGATACCAAAAATACAACGGTAAATGACTAATCGCGATTATTTCCGATAAAAATGAGAAAAATCAACGCGGCGTACGTAAGCGAGTATTTAAGATCTACCGATCAAATCCTTTAGTACACTAAACCGAGAAATATTTTTCTATATACATAAATCCAAAAAGTATTATAATCACAACCTAAAGAGCAATTTTAACATATTGTAAGTATGTAAAATTATTAATTATAATAATTACCCATTGAAAATGGGAACATTAACTTTAAAAATATACCCAGCACCTATATATTTTAAAATGTCAAAATTTATAGGTCAAGTACAATATGACATACGAAGTTTTATCGAAGGATCTTTAATCATTGTTGTTTGGTATTTTAACACAAGAGAAATACGATTATTAACAATCAAATACGTAGGCAAAAATTAGTATATAAAACACTGTATTAACTATATATAATTATAGAGTTTATGTGTAAGTATTATTTTGCATATTAATTCTTTCTTACACTTAAAAATCTAAAAATAATTGTGACGCATTTACTTATATTCGTACGTAACTTAACAGTAACAATTAAAGTTCTATGCGATGTGAAATAATTTTAAAAAATTATAAACGATTCGAGAATCCGATTACGGTGTTTATTTGTTTACAAAGTTGTTTGTTGTTGCAGATTCTAATATTTACCATCGTCTGATTAGGACTAATTTTAGGCTTAGAAACGATCGCAATTCCTTTGTTTCGTCTTTACCTTTTAAAATCTCTCATTAATCTCCTTCTGGCTGGTGTGGACATATCAATGCAAAGTTCTTTTTAAAGGATCACAAAGAAAATAGGATCAACTAATTCCCTTTCTTAGCATAAGATGTTCTTCTCGAGAGAATTCTTTCTCTTCCAAACACCAAGTTGATTTCTACTTGTGACGTCTATCCGGGTTCTTCTATGCTGACGTCACGGAAATAATGTCATTAGGTGGCGCTTTGGGCGACTTGTTGATTTTCCTTGTCGTTTTTCTGTTGTTAAAATTTATTATTATTATTGTTATAATTTTTATTATTACAAATTATAAGTTATTTTAAATAATACGTATTAATATTAATTCGAAACGTTATTGTATGTTTATTATAAATTCCAATCTAGTGTGTTGTGATGGTCGATAATATTGCGTAATAATATTTTTTGTGGTTAGTTTTAATAAAATACTTTGATTAAATCGATTGTATTTAAAGAAATTGTCAAATTTCAGCATTTAAAAATATTATTCTTAATCTGAATAAATTTTACGTATACCGGTAACGTTATTTTATATCTTTCGATTACCATCCCATCTCCTATAACGNATATAACAAATATATAAGTATCATCTACATCTTCCTGCATGTCCGTGAATACTTGTTTGAACTGGCTTCGTCCTGAGGATCCGTCACAATCCCACGTGAAAACCATGTTGGAAGCGTGTCTATCTCACACGTACAGTACCTGCTGTAACACTTCCGACTGGACCTACACTAAGCGTCGTATAGTATGATCAAGCAGTGATTACAATTCTATTTCTGCAAAGAATTCGGTGATTTCAATTTTGTCCAAATAGCATCGCTATTTTGTCTCCAACATGTGATAATTTGGGAAAAATATCAGCATTGTAAGATTTGTTTATTTCACACATGGAGATATACTGGTCTTTTGTAACTTTATCCCCCCCCAAAAAAGAAAAGACTAAAACGTCATCATATGTCATTTTTATGGGCAATTTGTTACTTGAAGACTGGTACGCTTCTTTTAATTTCGCAAGTAGCTAGCTCTTTTTGGAGACAGACTAGCTACTTGCTTCACTATTTCTGCTGCATCATGTGTACTTGTAGACCGTAAGCTCATTTCATCTGTAAGAACAATTTCATGACTAACTTAAATGTTGAATGTGGCTTCACAACGGATTCAAAGGCCTAAAACTTAAATGAATACTATAAAAATTGAAAAAATGGCCTTAAAAATACGNCTTTAACCGCTAACCAGATTACTTATCGGAACACAGTGGTTCCAGTAAGTAATCTGGCTCGACAAATCTATACATTTGAAATACAGGCTTTATTAAAATTTATTATTTTACCCAATTATCATTATCCTCATCATCGTCGTCATGACTGTTATTGTCAGCTTCATCTTGGAGTAGCCTCAATACTTCAAGACGTATAATTTTTCTCCTCTTTTGGCGTTTAATTCGAAGACTAGAGGGTCCGAATAGAGTTGCCACCTGTCCGGGTTTGACCCGGAGACTCCGGGATTGAGTGAGTTATCTCCGGGCTCCGGGATTAATTAATATTTCTCCGGGTTGTGCAAGTTGAAATGAATATGTACAAAATTATATGCAAACCTTCGCATATATTTCTTCCCCCGTGTATCGAATTACTAGTGTGGTAGTCGTTGGCAGAGACGCAGTGCTGCTTTTTTTTTGCTTGTACGATTCATTTGTAATCATATAAACCTCCAATATCCAATAGAGCTAGGTCACTTGCATCACTACTATCCAAGTCTCCATAGTCGCCAGCTGTAACTGATTTAGAAACGGCATGCACTGCAAATTATTCTTCGCATTGCAAAATGACATTGCGCATGCGTCAGGAACTTCTGTTCGAACAAACCTGACCTGCCGTCCGGGTCAGCGATTTTGAAAAGGTGGCAACTCTAGGTCCGAAGAAAGCAGCAACATATGCATGAAGTCTATCATTGTATCGCTTATAGAAAATTTACGTGTATGATGTTCCCTGAAACTTTTTAAATCTTTATTCCTAGTCTCGTGGTCTTCGTCGAACATCATTCCAACTGGAAGTATGGCTCCTTTTATTAATTGTGTACTTTTGATGATTATTTTATGCACACTTTGTGGCATATAATACCATGTATATATTTTTTTTCCATTGTGAAAGCAATCTTGTATTGTTTTCTTTCAATCTTGAACTTGGGCTTTGTCTTCTTTTCGTATTTGTCAAGATTTTATCTCTAATCTGTACGATAAGTACAAGATGCATTGAAAACATTTTATCCAAGAATGAAGACTTGATAAACCCATGGCCAATGCTGCTTCATTTAGTTTTTTTTTTGTTTTTTAATGAAGGCGAGGTTGTTCATTTGGGAAAAGGTCGCCTCACACACGATAGTTTAGATTGCTTTATTTGACAGCATACTACAAATCTTTCTATCAATAATAATGAGACCATAATTGATAGAAAGATTTGTTCTTGAAAACATGTTCTTGTTTAATTAACAATAATTTGACGATCCTCTACGTGTACGATTGTTGAAGACAGTATCTCAATTTTTGATTTCATATTATCGATTTTTTTTGTTATTAGTTTTTCACTTTCTTTCTAGTATTTTGATAGGCCAACGATATTTTGTCGATGAAAGAAAATAATTCTGCCACAAAATTATTTTTTAATCTTGGTTTATACCAATAGAAAAAGGTAGTCATCTGAAATGACACAATAGATATAACAAATATATAAGTATCATCTACATCTTCCTGCATGTCAGTGAATACTTGTTTAAACTGGCTTCGTCCTGAGGATCCGTCACAGTCCCACGTGAAAACCAAATATAATGTTGGAAGCGTGTCTATCTCACACGTACAGTACTTGTAGACCGTAAGCTCATTTCATCTGTAAGAACAATTTCATGACTAACTTAAATGTTGAATGTGGCTTCACAACG